TGTGTGGCCCCCCCCCGGGGGCCCGAACATGTACGTCTCCACCGCCTGCCGAGGTCCCCAGAGACGATCCCCCAGGGCGGCCGTCACGGACGAGTGGCCGCCTCAGACCTCCCGTCCAGGAAGCTGCAGGAAGGCAGGCCTGGGTTCACCCGCGCGCGGGGGGGGGGCGATCGACGCCGGCAGCGCTCGCAGGGGTCGGGAGCAGGGAGCGCCAGGGGCACGTCCGGCCAAAGTCGGCGCGCTCTCCCAGAAGGCCCGCCACGCGACGCTGCGGCCAGAGCGCCCCCATCTGCAGCACGCAGCGGCCACACGCATCCGGCTTTTCTGCCCTGGCAGCTTCGTCCCGATGCTGACTGCCCGCCGTGCACTTACCGCTGTGCACCTTGGCACGTTGAGGCGTGGTGGGACACCAAATGCGGTCTGGTAGAGCTCAAGATGCCTCCAAGACAGCCCAAAGGCAGCCCAATATTACCCCAAGACGAGCCAAGATGTCCCCAAGACGGTCCGAGAGGGCATAAGGACCGCCAGCGGGGCCCGAAGACGACAAAACCTGTAATGTTCCTTCGGCGTTTGAAGAATTTGGGCGTCTTCGGATTTTCGGGTTCCCTCCAGCTTCCGACTGCCCCAAAGGCCTCCAAGATGGCCCCAAGATGGCCCAAGAGGGCCCCAAAATGGCACAAGAATCTCCCAGGACTGCCTCAAGACAGCCCAGAAGGGCCCCCAGACGGCCCAGGACGGCCCCAAGAGAGCCCCAAGCTTGCCCAATACAGAGTCCCTGGACGGGCAAAGACGACCCAGAGACGGCCCCACGATTGCAGCAGGGGGCACCCCAGGCAGCCATGAGGTCCCCAAGACGGCGCAGGAGGAGCCCCAAGACCCAAGACGGACCAAGCGAGCCACAGGACGGCCCAAGAGGGCCACAAGAGAACCCCTGACACGACGCGTTAGAGTGTGTCACATGTTGCAGCTGTCCCAAGCCTCGGGACACGAGGCGTCGCACGTTACGGCCCCCTGTGCTCCTCCTGAGCAGTGGCCACCCAAGGCGCTGGGCTGGCACAGTGGCGGGACTTGCCGCAGGCAGCTGGACTCTTGATGGCAATTGAATAGATTCCCCGTTGTGCGAGCGACAATATTCAGGTGATGTGCTTAGCCGATCGAGTCCTTCCCCAACCCATCCTCCTCCCCATCTTTTTGTCCGCCACTCATCCTTCCTTCTTCTCCTCCTCCTCCTCCTCCTCCTCCTCCTGCTCCTCCTCCCCCTCCTCCCCCTCCTCCTCCTCTCCTTCTCCTCCTCCTCCTCCTTCTCCTCCTCCTTCTCCTCCTCCTCCTCCTCCACCTCCTACTCCTCCTCGTACTCCTTCTGTTGCTCATCCTCCGCCTTCCAGTAGCGTGTCCATCCACTAAAACAGGATGTCGATGAGGAGACAGAAGGAGACCTGGACGCAAGGCGCATTCCCACTTGCAATCGCGCTGGCAACGAAAACGCCTGTCGCGACGACTGTGCCGGAGCCTCTTGGGGGCCTCTTCGGAGCGTCTCCTGGACTCCATGGGCCCTCTCGGGGCCTCTTGGGCCCCTGGAGCCTGCCAGAGGCGTCTCCGAAGCGTCCTGGGACCTCTCTGGGGCCTCTGGGGACCCTCTGGGGGTCTCTTTGGACCTCGCAGGGGGCTCCCTGGGCAATCTGTGGATTATCCCGAGGACTCAGAGGCCCCTCGGAAGCGGAAAAGAGGAATCTTCAAAATTGCATGCTTCACCTTCGATTCTTGGCGGATTGGAGCCTCCTGGTCGCCTCTTGGAAGCCTCTTGCGAGCCGCTTGGGGGCCTCTTGGGGCAGCCTCGAGCTGTCTTGAGCCGCTGGGACGCCCCGAGGGCCGCCTGGAGGCCCTCTTGACCCGTCTTGGCACTCTCTGGAAGCGCTCCTGGGGCCCCAGTTCTCCCATGGAGGCTTGCGGTCCCTGAGTTTGGACCCTGGAAAGCCTATCCCGTGATAGAAAGGCAGGTGTTTGTATTTATATATATATATATATATACACACACACACATGTATGTGCGCAGCCCCCCCCCAGCACCCATTCATTTTCAATCGGTCTTTGAGCTCTCTTCATTCGTACGCGTACTGATCGTGCGCCTTCTTTTCACCCGCGCCTGCTCATCCATCTTTCTTATTCGTCGTTTCTCGGTTTTTCTCGTGCTGGAATATGATTGGAATCAACTGGAGCTGGGATCTGCGCAAGTCAAGGTAGATCATAAGTAGAGTCGAACAGGAATCAAAATGGAATCAGCTGGATCTGGGATCCACTCCACTCCAATTAGATTGCAAGCACAATCCCAATCGGAATATAATTGGAATCAGCCCGATCTGCGACCTGCTCAATTCCAATTAGAGTGCAATTAGATTCCAATCGGAAACCAATTGGAATCAGCAGGATCTGGGATTTGCGCATTTCGAATAAGAGTTTAATTCGACTCCAATACGAATACAATTGGAAACAGATGTATCTGGCATCTGCTCGATTACAGTTAGATTATACTTCGATTGCAACAGGAATCATATTGGAATCGGCTGGATCTGGGATCTATTCAATTCCGAATGGATTCGAATTAGATTTCAATAAGGATCTGTTTGGAACCAGCTGGATCTGTGATCTGCTCAATTCCATGTAGATTCTGATTCGATTCCAACAGGAATCCCGCTTAGACCCAGCTGGATCTGGGATGTGCCCAAGTCTAATGAACTCCCCAACTAAATTCTCAAAGGAATCAAAGTATAAGGAGCTGGACCTGGGAACTCCATGTCAGGTAGAATCTTAAAGGAATACAGCTGGAGTCAGCTGGGCCTGGGACTTGTCAACTTACAATTCCATTCGAATTAGATCCCAAATCCACTTGAAATCAGCTGGATACGGGATCTGCCCAATTCGAACTCGATGCTAACTCGATTCCACTAGGAATCATATTAGAATCAATTAGATTTGGGATCTGCGCATGACCAGTCAGATTCTAATTAGACTTCAACAGACATGGAATTGAAATCAGCTGGATCTGGGATCCGATCCACCACAATCAACTCCTGAACGAATCCCAAGAGGAAGCAGATTGAAATCAGCTGGATCTTCGATCTGCCCGAGTCGGATCGAAGTCTGCTTCGGCTTCAGTAAGAGTCGAACTGGAACCAGCTGAATATGTGTTCGACATCGATTACAATATGACTACTAGCCGGCCGCTCTGCGGTTGATCGGGAGTTTCTGTATGTAGAAGAAGGTGCGTGCGCCTGTTGGCGAGGGTGAGGATGAGGTTCCCCCTCCTCCTCCTCCTCCTCCTCCTCCTCCTCCTCCTCCTCCTCCTCCTCCTCCTCCTCCTCCTCCTCCTCCTACAATTGGAACCAGCTGAATCTGTGTCCGACATCGATGACAATATGACTATACAAGCGGCCCCTGCGAAGCGCACGAGGCGGCCACGCGGCGCCGACGGGCGGCGCACGACGGGCGCACGGCCAGAAGCCCGTGCGAGAGAGCGCACGGAGGCGCCCACGGGCGAGAGCAGCCCACGGGCGGCGCACACCGGGCGCACACCAGAGAGGCCCACGGCCGCCACGCCGGGGCGCTCTCTCACGGGGAGGGGCGGGGGGGCCCACGGGCGGCCACTGGGCGAACGCCCCGAAGGCCCACGGGCAAGCGCAGGAGGAGGCGTCCGCGAGGCGCCCGCCGGGCGGCGCTCCTCGGCGAGGACCAAAAAGCCTGCGAGGGCCCCATCGAGGGAGGGAAGAAGCGGGGCCCCTGGCGCCGGGAAGGAGCAGAGGATCCTGGGGGGGGGGGCTCCCGGGCGGGAGCGGGTCGTTGTCGCACAGCCGCGGGCCCAGGGTTGGTCCAGGGGCGCAGCTGGACTCGGAAGGCTGCCCCCGACAGAACAGAACCAATGCGACTGCCGATGGGCGCACTGTGGCGCACTCCGCCCGGAAACACGACCGGGGCACTGGAGAGATGGGATCAACAGCAGCGGCTCTTTGAAAGCTCAACAGAGCAATTCGCCTGGCGAGAAGCCCCACCCTTTTGTGACAAAGGGCGACTCTAGAAACAGGACGGCACAACGCATAAGAACACGATAACTTCGCCAAAAACGGTCCGACCGCACACTGAGTTCCTAAATCACGTGTGGAGTCCAACAAATCGGATGAACATGGACCCCCCCCACGCGGGGCAGCGAAACGTGCGAGGGTGTGCAGAAATGGGCGGGGCGACCCCATGCAAACGGACCCAGCGGGGCCGTCTGTGGAGCTCTTTGGAGAGCAGGAAATGCGTGAGAGGTGCAGAACTGAACGGGGCGACGCCGTGCAAACACACCCACTGGGGCCCTCGGAGCTCCTTGGGGGGAAACACATGCGTGAGGGGTGCGCTGAAAGTGGTGGGGTGGCGTCATGCGAACAGAGCCACTGGGAATCTCGGTGGAGCTTCTTGGGGGGCATGATGCGTGTAAGGAATATGCTGAAATGCCTGGGGTGGCCCTCGGTGAAGCTCCCTGGGAGACAGGAAACGAACGTAAGAGGGGTGTGCCGAAATGGGCGGGGCGACGCCATGTGAACGCACCCACTGGGGCTCCCAGTGGAGCTTCTTGGGGGCAGGAAACGTGTGAGGGGTGTGCCGAAGTGGGCGGGGCACCGCCATGCGAACGCACCCACTGGGGCCCCCGTTGGAGAATCTTGGGGGTTACGAAATGTTTGAGGGGCGTGCCGAAATGGGCGGGGCGACGCCATGCGAACGCACCCAGTGGGGCCCGGGAGACAGGAAACGTGTGAGTGGTGTGCCGAAATGGGCGGGGCACCGCCATGCGAACGCACCCACTGGGGCTCTCTGTAGAGCTCCATGGGAGGTAGGAAATGTTTGAGGGGCGTGCCGAAATGGGCGGGGTCACGCCATGCAAACACAGCCACTGGGGAGGTGAGGAAGCGTGTGATGGGTATGTCGAACGGGGCGGGGAGACGCCATGCGAACGCACCCATCGGGGCCCTCGGTTGAGTTCCTATGGGGCCACGAAACGTGTGATGGGTGTGCCAAAATGGGCGGGGCGACGCCATGCGAACGCACCCACTGGGGCCCCGAGTGGAGCTCCCCGCCGGGGGCAGGAAAACTGTGAGAGGCGTGCCGAAATGGGCGGGGCCATGCGAACGCAGCCACTGGGCCCTTCGGTGGATTTCCTTGGGTGGCAGGAACCGTGCGAGGTGTGTGCCGAAATGCGCGGAGCGTCGCCACGTGAACGCACCCAGTGGGGCCATCGATAGAGCTCCCTGGGGGGGGCAGGAAACGTGTGAGGGGTGACAGGAGGAGAGGAGGGTGCGAGGGGAGGAGGAGGAGGAGGAGGAGGAGGAGGAGGAGGAGGAAGAGGAGGAGGAGGAGGAGGAGGAGAACGGAGGAGAAGAAGAAGAAGAAGAAGAAAAAGAGGAGAAGGAGGAGGAGGAGGAGGCGGAGGAGGAGGGGAGGAGGTGAGGAGGTGGGGCGCGGCGCTGCGGATTCAAAACGATGACCCAACACACGAGGGTGTTGGGAAAAACTATCAGAGCACAGACATCGCATCGATGTGCCACCCTGTGGGATCAAAAGGATGAGGAAAGGGTCGAAGCGGGCGAAAGGGGGGATAGCAAAGGCGGGGTTAGCGAAGTATTGCACGCAGCTGCCTTTGCAGGCGCCTGCCCGCGCAAGGATGCGCTCCATGTGCCGAGGCAGCGCGCACGGCGGCGGGGCCGAAACCAGCCGCAGGCAGCAGATGTCGTAACCCCTTGCCCAGTCCCCCCTTGCGTCCGACCCGAGTGATCCTCGCCGTCTGGGTTTCGGGCCGCAGCTCGGGCCTCTGGCGGCCGTCTGGGGCAATGCCGGCCCCCCCTGAACGCTCTCGGCGAGGCGCAGCTGCCGGAAGGCAGCCCCAGGCTGAAGAAACCGCGGGAAACCGACAAAGACGCCCTATATATATATATATATATATATATATATATATATATATATCGAGCCTCGGACCTCGATCTACATCCCTCCCTAACGTCCTTTGCGCCCGACAAGAGACGGAGGGAGGGAGGAGGGAGGGGAGGAGGGAGGAGGGGGAAGAGAGGAGGGAGAAGGAGGGAGGAGGAGAGGAGGAGGAGGAGGAGGAGGGAAGAAGGGCGGGAGGAGATGGGAAGAGGGAGGCGGGAGGAGGGAGGAGAAAGGAGGGAGGAGGGAAGGAGGGAGAGAAGGAGGGAGAAGGAGGAGGTACGGAGGAGGAGGAGGAGAGGGAGGAGGAGGAGGAGGAGGGAGTGGAGGAGGAGGAGGAGGAGGAGGAGAGAAGGAGAGGAGAGGAGGAGGAGGAGGAGGAGGAGGAGGAGGAGGAGGGAGGGAGGAAGAAGTCCAGAATAAACCCAAGATGCATCCACGGATGCTGCAACACACTCCCGCTCCAAGAGCGTTACTCACAAGTCCATGCAAACATGCCCTTTCACTGCAGGCGCCCCCCACGAATGACGACCAGCCAGCCGGTCCGCCAGTCAGACGAGGGCGCATGCTGTAAAGGATACCCCTTCCACTTGCAGGACTCGCAGTGTAGCCCCATTTTGAACAGCACATGCCCTCCATCCGTCTAAGCGTGGCAGGATGTCAGAGTGATGGACGTATGCACCACGGAAAAATCACGCGAGAGCCCTTCAAGAAACCAAGCCTCATGTTGAAAATAGCACGCCCTCCCTAAGTTGCAGGAGCGCGCACACGGTCAAGGAGAGACCCGAATACGGCGGGGGGCGATCGTCAAGGAATGTGCATGGGAGGCTGCACCCTGGAGGATTCCTGATCTGACGAGGGCAGCGATGATATCCATGGCCGATCCACGATTAGAGTTCCACCAGCTTCCAAACCTTTCCCACCGTCTTGGGGAGGACTCGCCATCCGCTCGCGCAGCTAAGGACATGCCGTGCGCACGGCGCCAGTGCCAGAGCTCCTTTCTGAAAACACCCCGCCCTTCACCTGTTCCTTAGCTGCGTAAAACGATGGTGTGCGGCGCCAACTTAGCGAGAGCCACATTGCGAAAACCGTTCGTGGCCCACGCGCGATCTGAATTCATTTGTTCCTTGGGGCCTCCTGCGGCGACGAAGACGATGAAGGTGAGGATGTGGATGCTGTTGCTGCTGGTAGCGACGACAGCCTGGGAGCGTTTCGGGAGGAATTGTAACGCCTGGAAACGCCTAAGGGCGTTTCGGAGCGTCTGGATGCGCCTGGGCAGCCTGGGGAGCGATTGGGTCCAAAATCTGAGTCGGCGAGGGGTGCTCGAAACGTATCGATGCATCATGTATTTGCTACCGATGTGTTGCTTTGCCATTTGTGCCCAGGGGCTCGTCGGGTCAGGGGGTAAGACGATGCCGAAGATCAGCTAAGGCGCACCGAGTATTTTTTACATGAGATGGTGAGGGTTGGGTCGGATGGATGCGCACCGACTTGTATGTTTTGCGTCGGATGGTGAGGGTTGGGTCGGGCGGTTGTACACCAAAAACTATGTTTGATGCAGTACATCGGATGATGCAGGTTTAATCGTACGGACCCACACAGAATAACACATGTTGCGTCGGGAGGTGGGAGTTGGGTCGGATGGACGTGCACCGATTTTTCGTTTGCGTCGAACGATGATGGTTGGGTCGTATTGATGCGCGCCCAAAATCCATTCTTTACATCTGGTTGCGAGGGTTTAATCGTATGGACGTGCGCAAGCTTGCATTGTTTGCATAGGATTGTGAGGGTTGGGTCGGCTGGGCGTGCACAGAATAATACGGTTTGCATGAGATGGTGAGGGCTGGGTCGTGTGAATTGCGCGGCGTTCACGCGAGAGCAAAATTTTGAAAAGAAGCCTGCCCGTATCCTTGAGGCAATTGCAAGCATGTAAGATGAATGCACGCGGCGCTATGGCGAGAGCCACATCTTGGAAGGCACATGTGCCTCTATCCTTGAAACTGGTGCAATTTTTTAAAAAGAATAATTATGCTCGCCGCTAAGGCGCGAACCACATTTTGAAAATGACCTGGGCTCCATCCTTCAACCTGCTGCTAAGTTCATCTTTCAAGAACAGTTGGCGACTAAATCTCAGGCGAAACCCCCTGCCTGGCCTACGGATACAGTTGGTGGTTCGACCGGAGCCGGGAGGAGTTCTGCAAGGAAAAGGAATAGGAGGAGGAGGAGGAGGAGGAGGAGGAGGAGGAGGAGGAGGCGCAGGAGCACCAGGAGCAGGAGCAGGAGCAGGAGGTGGAGGAAGAGGAAGAGGGTTGGAGGAGGATAAACTGGAAGAGCCAGGGTCGGAGGAGGAACTCCCCTCCCCACCAACTCTTCTCGTCCTCGCGGTTCCGGAAGCACTTCGGCTTGAAGCGCAGCTGGCGGGCGACGGGCGCGGAGAGAGCGGAGAGACCCTGGGGAGAGGAGCACCTGTGGTGAGGGCGTGGAGGGTTTTTTTTTTCACGACCACAACTCGGCGAGTGTCCCGCGCGCCTAGACGACCAGGCATTAAGAAAATCCAGCCGAGACAACCTGGCCTCAGAGAGGAAGAGGAGGAGGAGGAGGAGGAGGAGGAGGAGAAGGAGGAGGAAGACGAGGACGAGGACAAGGACGAGGACGAGGAAGAGGACGAGGACGAGGACGAGAAGGAGCAGGGGGAGGAGCGGGCGGGCACGGAGGAGAAGCAGCAGCAGGAGGAACGCAGGAGGAGCAGGGCCCGCCTGGCGCGTCTCCCCTGGAGCCACACGCGGGCGGCCCCTGGGCGACGCGGACCACTCGCAGCCCGGATCTCCCACGATAGGAGCGACGAAAAGATGATCCAGAAACTGATAATTTAGGAAATCTTACCCAACTTCCCCGAAGTTGCTTGAACCCAAACCTGGGCAAATTCCTGCCGTCTTCTCAGAGAGCGAGGGGAAAAAAAGGGAACGAACTTCCGGACAAGTCGGTGAAGAAACGCTGGCCCAGCTTTGCGGATGGAGGGTTCTTCATCAGATGCTCGACTGTAGGGCCTAACGCGAACACACAGCGACCCTACGCGGCGGCTTACGCGGGCCGCCCGCGCGGCAGGCCACACTGGGAGCGACGGCGCTAAACGCGTAGCCTTGCGCGGGACGCTTGCGCGCGCGCAGGTCGGCGCGTGGCTCCGTCGCTCTTGTGACGTGTTCTGTCCCAGCGTTCTCCCTCGATCTGGGCCTGCGGGGCCCGTTACCGGGCCCTGGGGTTGGGTCGGGCATGTCCTCCTACAGGGGGATGTTGGGAGAAAACCTAAACATACTCAAGACATACCCTAAAACAATCGAAATCGAATGGAATCGAAAACAAACAACAAAAATACTCAAAACATACCCAAATCATAAGTCGAAAAATTGTCCCCAGACTACTTGTTGACCACTTTTGAAGCACGCCCGACTTCACCCTGGGGCCATCAAAAGGTGGGCCCCGGGGGCGGAAGGCTACCCCCAGGGAGGGGGTCGGAAGCTCTGGGGGCTGCGGGCTAGAAGAGTCGCAACACCGGGTGTCTGGGAAGATCGGGGAACGGAAGTAAGAGGGCCGGGTAAGAGAAAGGAGGAGGTCGGGAGGGAGAAGTGAGGGACGAGGAGGAAGGACGGAAGAGAGGGGAGAAGGACGAAGAGGGGAGGAGAAAAGAGGGAGGAGGAAAGAAGGATGAAGAGGGGATGGGGGAGGAAAAGGGCAGCAGGCCGCACGGTGTCTGGAGTCACGCCAGGCAGCAGGGGCGCGCGTCCCACGCTTACCGAATGGCGGCGCGGCCACTGCACGAGAGCTGTGCACGGTGGGGGCCCTCGATCCACTGGAATCGAAGCACACCGCCTCGGCACGCTACGCCCCACGCTACGACGGCCATCCACGACGGAGCCGCGTGGGCCAACGCTGCGGAATGGCAGGGGGGCAGAGCCCCTGCGAGGCCTCGAGCCGCGTCAGACAGCGCACACACGAGAAGACATCGGATCTACGGGAGCCTGCACTGTTCCCCCCGGGGCCGAAGGCGACCCGAGAAGGAGATGGGGAAGGAGGAGGAGGAGGAGGAGGAGGAGGAGGAGGAGGAGGAGGAGGAGGAGGAGGAGGAGGAGGAGGGAGGAGGAGGAAGGATGAGGAGGAGGAGGAGGAGGAGGAGGAGCAGGAGGAGGAGGAGGAGGAGGAGGAGGAGGAGGACGGGTCGCCTAAAGCCCTTCGGAGGAACCCTCCACGGCAGCCATCATAGCGATCGGCGGAGTGACAGACGGGCACCCGGCGGGAGGCAGCCTGGGCCCCTCGTGAGCAGATGCACGACCAGGGCGCGCGCGGATCATTGCTGGCTATGTCCGCCTGGTGGCGCAGTTCGCAAACGTGCGCGGTGCGCCTGACGCGGCCTCCAGTGCTCCTCCTCACACACACACACACACAGCAGACCGAGCAATCCGAACAGGCTGGCTTAAAAGTGCCGACGGCAGTAATAAACTACCACGCTCAAGGACGCCCGAAGAGAGAAAGAGAGAGAGAGAGAGAAAAAAAAAGAGAGAGAGAGGGGGAGAAAGAGAGAGAGGGGGAGCGAGAGAGAAAGGGGTGCCCAGCCCAACTCCTGCGGTCTTGCGCTGCTCGGGCGCGGCGCGGAGGGGAAGGGAGGGAGTGCCCATACCAATGAAAACCATGAAGACGATGATCGCCCCTGATCATATGATTTCCCCCATCTTCTCTGGGCGGGCACCCCCTTACTCTAGGAGCAGTGACTCCCATTGGGCTCACCAACCAGTTTTGCTGTGGGAGCTTCTGAAACGAGCAGTCCCTTCAGCTTGGGTCTGCACACTCGAAACCTCGATCTCCTGTGAGATTTGGGGATCCGCGGTCGGAAGGGGAAGGTCGAGACCCCCCCTCCGATCCTGATATGCACGCAACGGCAACCTCCGCACACATCCTTCCCCTCCAGGTCCCCAAAATTGGGCAAAAGGGAAGGTGGCAGAAGAGGGACTGGGAGGGAGCGCGCCGTGAGCTGGTGGCCTCGGCGTGCTGCGTTCTTGCGCACGTGTTGATGCAATCCCCATACCCAGCTGTCCCTCCCCTACCTCACCACCACAACCTCTATATAACGGCTAGCTGATGGGCAGCACCTCAGCGCCTGGCCTGTGGGAGGCAGGGGATGGCGGGAGGCGAAGATGGATGGGATGAGGGGACAGTGAGTAAGTAAACCTTGCCCGAGGCTCTCCAGCCATAGGCAAAAGAGATACTGCAGCCTGTCACGGCATGCATCAGAAGTTGCATGTTCATGCTCCTGCTTCCCCTACCCCCCCTATCTAGACCCCCCCTTCCATCCTCCCATCTGGACATGGCTGCTTCAGACCCAAGCTGACTAAAAGATGGGTCCAGGGAGGAGGGAGGAAAAGAGATTGACGGGGGAGAGACAGGGCGAGGGAGGCCATGCACTGGGTTGAAGGCCCCAACACCGTTATGCCAGATTCGAATCTGCACGGGCAACTCCCCTTATATCACTCTGCACTGCAAACTGCTGCAATGATCAAGAATTATGAAATCCCACTGACCTGCTCATGAACTCAGCGACGCAGCTCGAGTGGGCCCAACAATGACACTCTGGGCAAAAGTGGGCTGGCTTCGAAGTCTTACATTTCTCTCCACAAATGGAATACCTATCCTTGCCTGTTGATGGGGACTCAGAGGTGAAATAAATCACTCGCCCATTAATGTTTTTGCAACCCGCGCAAGGGAGCCCTGAGAACTTGTCGGAACTGGTTTCAGCACGGCAGCCAGAGGCCCGCAGTGCATCATCCACGTTTGTGGCCAGCAGCTCTGGCTGAGCCTCCTCGGAAGGCTGGCCCATGCATTCGGCGAACATGTCAAGGTTGCTGTCAGCACGGCCGTCGGTGGAGAAGCCCGAAGCAAACCCAATCTCATGGTCTGGCTCCGCGTTGCAAAGAGGAGGCGCCACTGCACAGTCACGAAGAATTGGAATCAGCTCACTCAGGGAGGTGCGCATATTGCCCAAGAAATCTCCGTACTCGCTGATGTCGTTGACGCCTGCCTGGTCGAGGTCCACAGTGAGCACCGGCACATCTGGCAGCGAATCTGCCAGCTCCGTAACCCAAGCAGCCCTATTCAGCACGTCCTCGGACGTGTCCTTCACCGTCTCCTCTAGCGTCTCCTCCTGCGCGTTGAGCATGGTGGAGTCTTGGCCACTGTCGGAGAAAATGTCAAAACGCCCCAGTCCAATCAGGCCGTCTTCACCCCCAAGCTCGGAGTCCTCAAGGGCGTTGGATAGACCATCAACCTGGGCCTCTGCCCACTCCACCCTTGACTCCGTAGTGGAGACGCGGCCCAGCAGCTCCCTCACGGCAGATGAAATGGTGTCCAGAAGCTGGCTCAGACTGTACTCTGCCAGCTTGCCTGAGTGCCTGCAACCAGCTTCAAGACGGAAAGCGCTGAATTGGCTCCTGATATCAGCAATGTCCGATTTGAGCTGGGCATTATTACTACACGTCGCCTGAAAGGCTGCAACACTGATGCACGCCATTGGCTCGCCTTCTGCAGCCAGCGGAGGCCCAGAGCTGCCCACGGCCTGGCCTTCTCTTCGGCCTGCGAGTCGCGCACGTGCTTGGACCCATTCGACTTGGCCAACAACTCCCGAAGGGGGGCACGGACCAAATATGGTAGCGATGTGCGCGTTGCCCCCTCAAGCTAACTCCGTACATGTTGGATGCCCCCCGCTCTCTGCGCTGCCACCCCCAGGGGCGAAGCCAACGTCGGTTCTACAGGGCAAGCATGCTTGAGGCACTCGCCGAGGGCTGCCCCGTCAGACAGGAAGATGCGCCCCCCATTCCTGCGGACAACGGCCATTTCCTTCCTCGGGCGCCGACGACGTGGACGGGAACCCGCACATGGGCTCACCGTTTGGGAACTCGCATCGGAGCTCTCCATTCCGCAGCACAACAAGCGCGGCACAGAAATCCGAATGCGAATCAAAGTATGGCTCCGTATCGGACGAGCGCGCGCAAGCTGACTTGAGCCAAAGTGGCTACGGATGTGCTCCTCCTCCTGCTCCTCCTCCCCCCCCTGCTCCTCCTCCTCCTGCAGCGCCGACGGCGGCGCCGATGGCAGCCTCTTCGCGCGCGCGCGGGAGAGAGAGAGAGAGAGAGAGGGAGCGAGAGAGAGAGAGAGAGAGAGAGAGAGAACAAAAAAAAAAAAAAAAAAAAAAAGAGAGAGAGAAACAAAAAGAAAAAGAGAGAGAGAGAGAGAGAAGAAAAAAAAAAAAAAAAAAAAAAAAAAAAAAAAAAAAAAAAAAAAAAAAAAAAAAAAAAAAAAAAAAAAAAAAAAAAAAAAAAAAAAAAAAAAAAAAAAAGAGAGAGAGAGAGAGAGAGAGAGAGAGAGAGAG